AACTTTACTAATGAAAAATAATCACAACATAAAATCAAATTATACTTGACATTTAATATAGACATTCACAAATTCAGTTCAAATAATTTGATCCAGAGTTCCTCTCGCCACATGCCTTTGTGTCACTCTTGAGCAAAATGCACAGATACAAATAAATCAAAATGCTAAGGATGAGCAAGCTGTTTGCTCCTTGACTGAAAGAGAATTTACCATTGAAAGGGCCTGAATTGAATTGTAAGATTTGAGGTTTTCACAGCGGTGAGTATGAAGATTTCTGTCTTCTGGGTTGTTGCGCTGTGTAGTCTGGTCGATGTTAACCAACGTTTCAGAGGTCATACTGCCTCCGTCATCAGGGCGATGAATTGCTCTGATGACGGAGGCTATACAGCACAACAACCCAGAAGACAGAAATCTTCAGCTTACCTTTAATCAAAGCCCATCTGGCCTCTAAGGTTCCAGATCATATCAGAAAAGTTTATGGAAAACTGTTTGTCACACCACTGCTACTCCCCTGGCTGGACTTTGTCTTCATCCTAGCTTAAGACAGACCAAAATGGCAGCTGGGTCCTGGCTTTCTGTCACTTTATGCCAGGGGAGGAAAGGGGGAGAATGGGGAAGGAGAAATTGCATGGACTATGTGCTTGACTCGCCTGCTGGGATTTTCCAGTCATTCCTGCCAAATACCTGAAATGGACCGCTTGTACTTCCTTCTGAATCCTCATAAATCAGTGTTCATTACTGATGACTCCTTCCATTATGCTAATGGTACGTGAATGGTACATTAAATCTTAGACAGATATGTCAACAATAAAAATTGTGAAGAAGGTGTGAGGGTTAATTGCATTGATCTTCTGTATCTTACATTTATACCATCTGAGATTGCTATTTACAACAGCAGCAGCAATAAAAAAATGTTTGATGCTTGAAGATTACATAACAGTCACAGTAAGTGTTTTATCTTAAAATAAAGACTAGTACTGGACCAAAAGGAATACTGCAAAAGCAGTACTGTTCTATGTTTGGTCAGAAACTGAGTTATTGTTGAAGAACTTGCTATATTTATAACGATGCAATTTCACATACAGAAGTTGAATAATTATTCAATATATTCCTACATTTCAAAATAAATGTGATATTAAGTGTACTTCTTACAGAATGCTTTCTCATGTTTTGTATACGAGGTGCGATCGAAAGGTTTCCAGACTGCGCGTATAAAAACCCGTACACTTATCTCAGGTATTAAATTCATCCATC